CAACAAACCTGTAACAAAGATTTTAACAAACACTAACTGAAAACAAACCCCGACCTTCCTCTCAAGAGCCGCATTCTCACTGAAAAGCAGCTTCCTTTGCTCAGAAACCTCATCTCACAAAACCTGAACTACTTCAGACCCTCTCAGTGGGGTAAGATCAGGTGCCCCTCGGCTTCCCCATCTGCACACACAACTGTGAGCACCAGTCCCACCCCTTCCCAGGCCAGCAGCTTGTCACAGTACACCGCTTGTCAACAAACCAGCGATATCTTGGGTTTGGGGACTCAAGTATCAAGAAATTGCTCAGATCAGGTCTCCAACAGCTCATCTCTGCCCCAAGCTACTGCCAGGCTGGCGCTTGCTGCTCCTGGGAGTTAACTCCACTGCTCTGACAGCACAGTCCCACCTTCTCAGGGGGAAAATCTAACCAAACAATATAAACCCTTATTTGCCTGGGTCAAGCCCACACATTTGGACCCAATACTGAAAGTATGACTTTAAATTCTCCTTTGCCAAGGATAGCATTTATTTACATCACACATTTAGGAATCAGAAATTACAAGTGGATCCAAGCTTTGCACCCACACTTTACACATTGCAAGTTTTTCTGCTGTTCAACTCGTGGTCTACTAAATATTGTCATAGTTGGGTGCAAGAGTTGACAGCAAACAGTACCTGCTTAGAGTGGCTTTTTTTGCTATGAACACAGACGAGGTGACCCAAAATGCCACTGATTTACCCATGGTTTGTGCAGTATCTTCAGTAGCTTGCATGTGATGAAGGCTTCTGTCACCACTCCAAGACACCAGCAAATGGTGCCCAGGCTAAGGGAAGCATTGCTTCATTGCACCTTGCTGGTGGTTGCTGTGAAGACTCTTCTTATTCAGGCAGTGACCAAGTATGATCTAATCTCTCTGGACCTCACCGCCGGCACATGTTAAACCAGGACCACCTTCAACACAGATTAAACAAGGACAAGAGTCCTCTGCCTCACAAGGATGTTGAGGCAGCATTAGCAGGTGGAAAGCTTCAAGATACTGGAATGAAAGGCATCAAAGGCTATAAAATGTTATTATGAATTTCTTACTGTGATGGGACACACGCCATAAGAAACAGAGTCATAAGAAAACAAGGGATAAGTTTTTTTAACTATTATTTTACCGTAACTGCTCACCACCATATCTCTAATTCTAGTTCAAAAGCAGTTAAGTTGGAAACAATTTGAAAAACAAACTAAGGAAAACATACACTTAGGATTGGAAATAGTTCTCTCTCACAGTGGGTTGGTAACACTTCCCCATGGGCTGTGTCGGACAGGGGTGAGTGGACTGGGTTTGATAAGCACCTACACTCGGTGGCACTGCTCCTCAGTACGGTCCCACCAACAGCGCAAAGCCAGGGGGCAGCTGGATTCTAGGGCAGTATCGCTTGCCTGTAAGGCTGGATCCTCCATCTCATTTTAAAACTGCAACAAAAGAAACATCATTTTTTCCATGCTCAAGGAGTTTTCCAAGTAGAGGATTTGCTTCCACACACACGAACAGAAACCCTAGCAAAGAAGAGGCTGAATTATTGCTAAACCCAGCTGAAAAAACCCAAAGTCACCACTAGATCATGTACTAGGCACACTTTTTTTTCTCCCTGGTTTTTCTAATATGATAAGAGCTACCTGTTTAAAACTCCTTTTCTTCAAATTCTAAGTCAGATTTTTATTTTCTATTCTCAATATTAAATTTCAAGCATGGCATGGGATAACATAATACCACCACATTAAGAACATGTTTAAGAACCCTTTCATCCTTGGCTTTTCTTCTGCAGTTCATGATATAAATTATGTTTTTAAACATTTAGAGCACTCACATGACAAAACAGAAAATGTTTCGCTCCACACTCAGATACTAGTGCAAAAAGTGCACTAGTTTATCCAAGGGCAAGTAAGTGACACATCCCCACTGACAGCCAGTGGATTTGGCTGTTTTTAAGATAACTCCTAAATCCATAACTAACCATTATGATACCTACACTACATCTGAGCGCGTTGTAGTCAATAGATTCACTGGCTGGTAACAAACAAATACTCTGACAGTACAAACAACAGAAGAACAATTTGACCTCAAACAGACCTGGGAATGCACTGGGACTGGAGACCACCACTATAGTTTTTCTGACCTGACTTTAATTATAGGTAAGTGAATGCCAAACACTCTAGTTGGCTTTCAATTCCAATTATTAAAATAAAATAAAGCTCGCATACATGCAGGTACTGTATTCCAGTGAAAGCCATAGGCACATCACAGACAGTACCTGAACATGGAATACAGAAATATTCATGAAATAATCTTGATCTGGCAAGAGGATAAGTAAGAAAGCTCAAAAATGCTTTTCATTTCCAACGACAATTATTGTTGCTGAAAAATTTACTAAACCAAGACTGAAATACAGAAGTGCCTTTAAGTTACACAATACATACTAAACCCCAAGTCTAATTAAATCCAAGCAAAATAAGTCTTTTTCAACTCATAGATGCCAGTGTAGGAGGGCACTGCAGTGAAATACAGGCCACTTTGTCATTTTAGAAATCTGCATTCATTTCTCTTAAAGAACTGCTGTGATGTAAAAACAAAATGAGACACTTCATAAATAACATCTTTATTAATGAGGTTTTTTTTTCACATTCTTTAAAGTGATGTTTAATTGAAATCTGCATAGTCAAGAGTGCAAAAAAAATTTCAAAGAAGTTGGACCCAAATGTGAACGTTGCCTTTTTTTTAAGTTAAGACTGGTCACAATCATAGGAATAAGCAACCTTCAGAAATAAATGACGGGGGAGATGTGCAGGGGGTGGGGATGAAAACCACCAGAAGAACTCTCATCAGTATAGTTGTCTATTAATGAAGTCTTCACACAAAGACACACAACACCCATTCACATTCATGTGCACAACAGAACGTAAACTACAGAAGAAAGGTACTTCCTCTACTGAATGAAACGAAACAGAGCGAGATTGTTGGTGTATTTAACTGAGCGTTGATCAGCTGTTCCCACAATGGGAACCGTTGCAATGCCCAGGTGGAGAAACACAAGGTCCAGATTTCTTCATGCTCTTATTACAACCACATTTCAACTAGCACCCTACAGCAGGAAACAAAATCTGAACACTTCCGTAATACTAAGAATTACTCTTAACACACACTTTTAAAGCAGTACCACCACTCTTTTTTTATTTCTTACTATCACCCCTTTCCTTACTGCTGATGCTATTCAGTCAGTTGGAAGAGCAGGTGAAGAGGACCACTCAGTGCCCACGTCATGGCTCAGTCTGAGGAAGTGGTCTGCAGCAGAACACCTCCAGCTTCATTTCCATAAGCACAGGCAACACAGTCCCAAGTCTCTCACGTCAACACCACAATGTGACTGCAAGTAATATTTTTAATATTTACACAATCTACTGACTTAGCTGCTGTTCTCTGCATTATAACCATCAGAAAAATCTAGAGGGGAAAAAAGAGAGGCATGTCCTCAAATGTAACAGCTGAAGGTAGTAAAGACCCGTGTATTGTCCACAAGCTGTGAAGAGGCCATTTCTTACCTCCAGTTTTGATTTAGGCAACAGAGATGCCACTCTACAGCTGAGCACTGGTTTAAATGCAGAATTCTCTTAAGTTGGTTATTTGGAAAAGCTATCCGAGATCCCATCACTCTGAACTTCACTGTGCACAAACTAGGCTTAACATTTTGTATATGATTGAGCAGTAAGAAACTTCAGTTAAAATTTACATTAGTTAGGTCCTGAATTATTCATCTTATTCAGATGCACAATCTAGGACTGCGGGGAACTGATCATCAATATTCAATCGTACAAGTTCAGATCTGGGCAAGGAATAAATCTCATTTATTTGCTATGAGCCTATAGGCTTTAAAGCCGAGATTCAAGCCCAGCAGAGGTCAATTATGAAATCAAACCAGTCAGAAATACATTTGCTGCCATGGGTACCAGAAACATAAGGCCTGAACTATTTTGGAGAAGACGTACAACAGTGAGTTAAAGAGATTTAGTGAGAACGCTTCCAGCAGTACATACTCTTACAAGGGGGAAACAAACTACACAGTGAAACTCAAACCCACCACAGTGAAATGGTGACTCCAGGGCTGAAACCCTACCTGTGTTCGACAGATGAGAGTCAAACATGCCCAGCACACAGAAACACCAATCACAGCTCCATGGCAGTGCCAGCCAGCATCAACAAGACACTGACAGACAAATGTGCCTCAACACCCCTTCTTCAAAAATAACCAGCTTTCTCCTCAGAGGACCAATGCGCTCAAGGATGGGGAAAAACAGACAGAAGTCTGAAAGCAAGGACCGCAGACAACCAAATTTTACCCCAGAAATAAGCCACCTGGGCAGCCAGCAGCTGCCACACTGGCCAGGTTTCAGGGCAAAACCACAGAAACAATCCATCTTGTCCCAGTTCAAAACACCAAAAAGAAAACTGGCTGATTGGGTGTGGGCTGATAAATCTTCACAAGCAGCAACGGCAACATCTTTTTTTTTTTTTTTTCCAGGCAATTTCGCAGGCAACTCTTCTGGCAGACATAAAATCTAATTAAATCGGGAACAGAATATTTAGGGCAATGGTATTCTTAATTTCTTCAGAAGAATAAGTAAGTCTGTGTTTCTTGTGTCACTTCAGGGATTCAGTTCAAGAGACCAGTAGATTTAAGACCACTTTTGATATTAGTTCAAGATTTACATTGGCACAACTGATTTACACAATTTGTACTTTTTAAAGGTGGTGATTAAACAGCATCAGATTAGACTTCTTTTACTAACATAATATGCTAAAATAAATGCAATTTGGTAGTCTGAAAAAAACCACCTTACTCTGACATACAACGGAACTACTTCGTGGCCTTCTGTGTTTCAGGAGAATATCCCACAAGTTCAGATCATCAGGCAGCCTCACTAGTTAAGACACATTAAAATGAAACATTTTCCATTAAAGTTGCCAAAAAGTGGATTTAAATTTATTGCATGACGTTGCATAAGAAAGTATATTATTGAAAACTGTAAGGCATCATGCAATTATCCATCAGCTGATTATTTATTATTCCTTGAAAGGTGGTTATATACTCTAAAGTTATAAAACCAGTTTCAAAAAAGTACATAAAAAAATTTAACATAAGCATTAAATATTTTTCACATGTTCGTAGTTTTTTAGCTGTTAAAAAGTGCATTCAAACATACTGTACTGGAAAGTTGCTCGGACCAAAAATGGTGCCGGAGACTTGTTAAATTAAAAGCTGCAAAAGAACGTTGCATGGGATTAGAAAGCTCACAGGTTGCGGTACTTAAACTTACAAACTTGCTTGAAATAATTTTTCAATCCTCACACTTAAAATTTAGCGTATGTGATATAATTAGCTAAAAATGTGTATTTTTATAACTAAACAGTCAAATGAATTCAAGTTACGTACACTGCGTGATCAAATAAGGAACAGACTTAATATTCAGACATGAGACAGAATGTACTGATGCGATTTTGGCATTAATCAATGTACTGTGCCATCCAACGGAAGCCTTCTCCATAGCCTTGCCTCTTTAGCACGCTGCACATAAACACTTCTAGAGGCCTTGCGTTCAGTTCTTTCAATGGTATACTGCCCTGCGGAGAGACAGAAGTGTTCCAAGTTACAAAAGCGCTTAATTTACATGGACATTTGTTTCTAGGAATGCCATTATTTAACTTGTGTTGCATACTGGAATTTTAGAAAATAAATTAATCTAAGATTTGTACATGTTACTAAGATAAGGGTCACTTAAAAAATACACTGAGCATGGTTTTCCTGTGCATCCATATTTGGAGGAGGTAAAGTACATGAAACCAGAGTAAAACAGCAAGCAAGAATCTGAGAGCTTATACTAAGTTTTCAGTCACAGTTCCCTGCTGTCTCTAATAACTTTCCAACCAGATTAAAAACAGCATTTGCTACCAAGAGCATTTGCTACCAATTGTTGAGCGCAAGTTGCTTGCTTGACAAGGTCAGCACAGTGTGAAAAACCTGTTGCTCACAGCTGGAGCTTCACAATAGTATTCATACTTCATAGATTATGTGCAGTATTGTAAAAACCAGGGCAAGCTACAAAAAGAGTAATAAAAGTCAGTACTAACTGTGTATAGCCCATTACACCTACTCTGAAACTAACCTGTGCAGTTCTTTTTCATGTGGAAAACAAAGTAGTAAAGATTTGGTCTCGCTCTGACTGGCACTGAACTTTAAGGGAAGCATCTAAGAGTACACACTGAGGAAACAGGGAATTACAAGCCCAGGTGCCCTCCTCCGCAGAGCCCCACTGGTGGTCATCTAACGGGAGCTGGGATGGAAGCCACACTGGGACAGCTTTGTCAGCTGCAAAGAGGTGTCCTTCCAAGGGCAAAGGACAATACAGCAACTCATTTCTAGTGCCCTGTATCCAAATACCTCCAAGTACTACACTGGATTTACTTTAGGTGAAGTATCACAAAGATACATAATACAAGTCTGAGTTGTTGCTACCAAGGCCAGTAGGAACTTCTTTTTCTTCCCTTCACAGCCCGCAAACTCCGACTTCTACAGTGGTGTAAATTATTTCTAAGCTTTAGGTAAACATGTTAAGCAACAAATTGTACTAAGTCTACACTTTAAATTAAAAAAGTCACTTACTGAAAGACTTTAACCAGTGTTCTTGTATAGTTCTCACTAGAACTATAGGCTCTGAAAACTTGCTCATCCTTTTAAAGTACTGCATAGAGAAGCTGAAGTACTAAAAATTATGCTGAGTACAATTAAGTTTTCTCTGAAAATATGTGCCATTAAATATGATGTAAAAAAGTTGTAGCACAGACTCATCTAACAGTCACACAAGAAAAGACTCCACAACTCATTCCAAATACAGCTATTGTGTACTTGGTACTTTATAAATTAAAAACTGCTTATTTTGTGTAGCTGAAGTGAACTGGAGTCCACACACAAATAAGGCAAACAAACTCCCTAACAAAAAAACCAACCAACCAAAACAAACCCCAAACCAAAACAAAACCAAGCCACTAAAAAAAGAGAAGCATTACCTTTCCTGTTGTCTGGCCATACAGACCAAACATCTCTCGTAACCTCTCTTCACTAATAGCTTCAGGTCTGTCAATCTTGTTACCAAGAATTAGGATAGGCACATTAGCAATAGTTTCATCTGTCATTAGTGACTATGAGGAAAAGAGGAGAGATTAATTTAGAACATAGAAAGTCACACTGCTACTGCTCATGTCCAGGTGGCAGCAGAGCTCTGTTGGATACTGGGAATTTGAGCTTATTTCTTAGAAGTTAAAGTTAAAAACTTTAAAAACTTATTTAAACTTACATCGAGTTCTTCTTTTGATTCAGTCAATCTGTCAACATCTGCACAGTCCACCAAGAACACAATACCATTAATTGCAGGCAGATAGTTTTTCCACACTCTGCGAGCTACAAGGAAGATGTGAATTAAAAACAAAAGAAAATGATCCAAAAATTCAGAGCAATGCGTATCAGTAATTAACAGGAACATAAGCTAAGCCATGTTTGCTAGTCTTCAGGATGCACAAGATGGGATCCAGCCCAGGGTCCTGAGGGAG